AAGGACAGGGTACGTTTAAGGAGTCAGCTCAAAGACCTTCCATCCAGGCTTAGTCCTTCATGAGTCCTTTCCAAAGCAGTTCTTCTGCTTCTCCAACTCCAGATCAACATGGCCTTGCTCCATAGCTACTAAATCCCCAAAATCCTAGACTACAATCCCACTTCAATCTTCCCAGTATGTGCGAAAGATTACAGTAGTCAAAGGAATTCTAGACTCTATCCACTGCCATGGCTGAAACTGTGAATGCGTTATTGCCTTCATTGGTCAAGCAGGCTCAGGAATTGAGATAATTTACTTAATTTGATTGCTGACATTCTTATGTTCTAGATTGATATGCGGTATTTCATTTAAGACTAACAATGAAGCTCTGAAGTAAGATCGATTACATTTTCATTTTACAGATAAGGAAATGTTAAAGCTCTGAGCAATATGGTAATGGGCTCAAAGTCTTAGGGCTGGTTAATGCAGGAGCCTTGGTCCCTCATTTTCTTTTCTTGGGGTGGAGGCCATGACAGCCAGGGGCTGATGGTGAAAGCTATGACTTCCATACTTCTCTTCTTTGGGGGTCAGAGTATGGAACACAGTCAACTCTCCAGCCTATTGAGGCATTTGTTCTCGTGGTTGAATGTTAATAATGTTTGCTGGGAAATGGTGAGATGGTTGGGAGAAACTGGTGGTTTCTGACTGAAGTAATTCTGCTGGAGGTGGACAGATAAGCAGAAGGTCTGAGGAGGAAGTCCCAAAGGTCAAGGAGCTTTGAAGGCAAGATGGAATTGTCCCAGAGCCTCTCTCAGCTTTGTCTTTAAAGAATCTTCACCATCTAGAATGTACTCCTACTTCAACACAGCAATTAGCAACATAGCTACAGCCCGGGGTGATAACCTAGACCTTCAAAAACCTTGTGTTTTAAGTTTGAATAACATTGGAGCAGGAGTGTACATGTTTACATGGTAACAGGCAATGTGTTCCTCAATATTAGGGCTTATCAGCCTCCCCAAACTGTCAAAAACAGTCAGAATAGTTAAGAGTATGATCTAATGTGGCTGTCTTGTGCAGATGGAATCTCCTAGACCCCAGAAGATGCAGGATTGCTGGGGACTTTTGGGGCCCAGGGGTGTTCAGTGGTTTGAGATCCAGATGTTCAGGGTTAGGCTCCTTTCCTTGTTGCCTGATGATCAGAAGACCAGGGAGACTTGCTTCTGCACTTTACAAGTCTTGGAGGCTATCATCTTCCTTGACTCCTATTTTGTTTTTTCTTTCATGGTTCTGGAATTGGGGCTATTTGTTGACCTGTTTGGAAGTCTTATTCTTGTACCTTAGTAAATACAAGACAGGAGTGATCCTCTTTCCTTATAAAGGAGTGTATCAAATCCTGGGATGCCAGAATCAGCTCCAAAAGGAGACTTTGGTCTTTTCATTTGTAGCCTGGGCAAGTTCTTCTACCTGGCCTGCTCTGGGTAATTAATTACAAAGAACCTTCCTTCCTGTTTCTAGGTTGTTTCCTGGTGTGTCTGTAGGCCTGGGAGCCTCCCATCTCCAGCTGCAGAAGCAAACCCCTCACTCCCTCCCCTGGTACTAGTTCCACTTTTTTAGGGCATAAGGAAGACATAAGGAAGAAGTGTTTTGAACTCTGCTGGATAGGACACAGAAGAGCAAAACTAGGTTCAGAGAGCGTTCAGTTCATGTTTAATTCTTGCACTATGTAGATTCTGGTTCCTAGGAAGATGTGGGTTTACTTCTGGAATTGCCCCTTCTCTTTGACTTTGGCTCTTATTCTCTCCCTAAAGGATGTTGTGGATTTTATTATTAAGCAGATATTTATATTTAAGGCACTAAAGAATATAGAAATGAGCAAAACAAATAAAATTCCTATCTGCATGGAAGTTACATTCTGTGGGAAAGGCAGAAAACAAATCAAAGCTCATAAAATCTATACCTTACATCTGTGTATATCTGTATCTGTATCTGGAGAAAAAACAAAGCAGAGACGATGTAAAGTGTCCATGGAAGTGGGGAGGCAAATACTGTATTAGAAAGGTGACCTGTGCTTAGTAAGAGTCTGTGTATTTTGGGGTAAATCACGTGGCTTCTCTACACTGTTGTACTTTGTTTTATCAATGAGGCTGATGTCTTTCGACAAAATAGGGCCCACAATTAAGTATGCAGACAAAAATTAAGAAGTATTTTTGGTACTTGGGAGGCTGAAGCAGGAGGATTACTGCGAGGTCAAGGCTGGCCTGGGCTGTATAGTGAGTTCAAGGCCCTCCTGAACTACACAGTGAGACTCTGTCTTAAAAAATATTTTTTTTGAACAAAACATCAAAGTACTTTATGTGTGCAAAAATGATAATGATGCTGATAATGGTGACGGTAGTACAAAGATGTTTTAAAGGTAAATTGTAGAACCTTGAATTTGGATTCCTCTTTTTACTTCAAATAACGAAGATCCAGGGAATATTCTAGCATTCTTCAGGTCCTTCACTGTGTCTTGAGTATTCTTGGTTTGTTCTCAGACTGTAACAGGGGAATATTCCACATACTTTTTCCCCTTAAATAGCACAAAAGTATGATTATGTAATAAGCTTCATCAAAAAAAAAAAAAAAAGTTTCTGGAAAAGCAAAAAGCTCCCCCGCTTCCAGTTGGTACTTACTGCCTCCTCAATAGCTATCAGGCTCTGGTTGTATCCCAGCCTCAAAGCCTCAAAGTAAGCCTGGGATTAATTTGCTATGTGTCTCTGGGCAAAATGCGTTATTTTTCTGGCTTCCCTCATCCCGCATAGATTTGGCTTTCAAAGTTGGTCTTGGGGGTCTGGTACACACCGAAGATAAAAGCTTTATATCACGTAAGTTGGTTATGTCAAACTGTAATAATAATCAAGAAAATTACTACAGGTCACAGGAAGTCAGAGACTCTTCCCTCAGTGGTCTGGTTTTAGGGTTAAGGTTTTTAGGTCAAATTAAAGATGCTAAATTTTAATTTTAATTTTAGATAAACAGGAAAAGGGTGTTAAATATGTCTCAAATAGCCCTTGGGGAATCTTCCAGGCCCCAAAATATGAAAAGCTACAGACTTCTAGATCTTTAAGCCAGGGAAGGCCAAAATTCAAATGCCTAGAAGGATCAGATAGGTGACATCTGATTTTTTATGGGAAAGTTATTTTTAAATGTCAGCCACACATTCTGTTACACCAACAAAACCGATGTTATGGATCAAAGGAAACAATCTGCATTGGCCACTTCAGAGCCCCATGAGGCCAATCCCTTTCAACTATTACGCAGATAAGGAAAATGAAGATGCAGAGAGCTAAGGCTTCTCAAAACAATAAAACAACCTAGGCATTTCATCAGTGTCTACCTGGGCATCAACCTTCATCCCGTCAAACTCCCCTAGACCCCAATACAGCGCCCTCAGCCAGCAGGAAGTAGTTACAGAGAGAGATCTTCGCCCCTTTTCCTAATAACCAGAAGACGGGATATGAAAGAGTTGCCCGCCCAGATGAAACACTGTAGCCAGAAAAGGCTGCAGCTAAACTCCTCCCCTACCCTGCCCCCTATGGACTTGATTGTGATTCTGTATCCCCATCCTTAAGGACCTGTGCGCCAATGGGATATCTGTGCATCCCTAATGGCCTTTGGGGCACTGCCCTAAGCTTAAGCTATTTAGATCCCCCACGCCACGTGTCCGAGAGAGTTTGCCGAGGAGTTTGCCAGAGAGAGTTCGCCAGAGAGAGAGAGCTCGCCAGACTCCAGCGCGCCAGTCTCCACTCCCCGTGTTCCCGGAGACACCACCGGCCCCGGGTACAGGGATGCCCGGGGCCGGCGACGGGGGCCCCCTCCCCGCAGTCCCGGAATAAAGCCACCGCTGACCACTACCTTCACGGCCGTCCACTCCGCTCCATTCCTCCCGCGGACTTCTCTCTCTCCGCCTCCCCCTTCTCCCAGACCTAACACATTCCATGGAGTTTCATGGATTGTATGCAGCTGATTTCATCAGTTTATTCATCTGAGAGAACAGCACATCCTGCCTCAGGACACTGGCTGTCTTGGGTTGTCTTCACGTTGGAAGGATGCGCTGAAAGATACTGATAAAAAATTCTGAAGAGGGAAAGATGCAATCTAAGGCTATGCAGGGAGAGGAAAGGAAGGGCACAAAAGGAACAAATATTAAGATTTGGGTATGTCAGGTACTGTAAAAGGTGTGGAAAGTAATTCTTTGCCACCTCTTTGTATGTCTGAATATTTCTTATTCAGGTTTAATCTCGAATATCACGTCCTCGGGCAACTTTCCATGACTATTCTTTCTGAAGAAGCCTCTCCTGAAACTCCCTCTGGAACTTGTCTCTCCATGGAAATAAAACCTGTCAAGAGTCTGTAATCCTAGCACTGTGGTGGCCAAAGCAGGAGAATCTTAACTTCGAGCCCACGGTAGGCAACTTAGAGCAAAGGCCCCAGGTTCAACCTCTCTGCCTCCAACTTTGTTTGCTTATATACACACCAGCTCCACGCAAACAAACGCAGGCCCCAAGAGGGCAGGTGATTGGCATGTTGTAAATGCTCAATTGCGTTAAATACTTATAAATAATTATGAGAATACATGAGAAGAATTTTGGCTACCCCTCAAGTTTTTCTTAGCCTCCTGTTCCATTAACACCAAGTAGGAGGTATAGCTGCATATCTAGGCAGAAAGAAATAGTTAAGAAGCGAAAAATTGGAAAGCAGAGTTATAAAGCACTTTTTCTCCTAGTCGCACCGCAGCCTCTTGGACGGATTGTGGGACAGCTTGCAAACATATTATCTGCAAACGAACGAAGCCTATTTTTAAAGATCTCTTGAGTCTCGCAGCCCCAGGCGATGACATCAGAGAATCCTAAGTCCCAACTCCCAGCCAAGCCTCGTGGTCCTCAAGAACTACGAGTCCCAGGACACAACGCTGCGCCGGGGCCTGGCGCTCCTTTAGCGACCCTCGTAACCGGCGCACCTCGGCTGCGCTGTGGAACCAGGAAGACGTCTGATCTCTGACCCGCCACGCCACTGGGAGCGCGCGGGGCCTACTGGGACTTGTAGTCTCTACAAACTGGGAGTGTCCGGTCCGGAATCTCAGTTGCTGTCTCCAAGCTGAGGCAACGCGGACGCGCGTGCGCAGTGCGCGGGCGGGCCGTCGTGGGCGCCGCTCCCGGCAGCTGAGTCCCTGTGGGAGCCGGGGCCGCGGTGGCGCGGGTGCTCCGGGCTGAGTCCGCGGTAAAGTGGGGTGTGTGGAGCGTGGCCGCGCTGGGATTGGGGGAAGGTGGTGGCGAGCCAGGGTGCGAGGCGACGGCGGAGCTCCCGGAGCGCCACGCCGGCCGTGGGGAGCGGGAGGCGCCCGCGCGTCCGCTGAAGGGCCGGGGAATGCGGGGCCGCGCCCCCTCCCTGCGCGCCGCCGCACCTGGCGGGCCGCCGGGCCGGCTCACCTGGGTGCGGGCTCAGGGCGGCGTCCGCCTGCTGGGGCCGCTGGCAGTTTTCCGGACCTCAGCCTGGGCGGTGCACGGCGGCGAAGGCAGGGAGGCGCGCGCGTCGCGGGGCCGAGGAGCGCTCGGCGTCCCCGCAGAGAAGTTCGGTCGCGCCCCTGTCTCCCTCCCTCCAGAGCGAGCTGTGGACGCGCTGTGCCCGGGCAGCTGTCCGGGGATTCCCAGTGGCGACGCCTGTCGGAGTGGAACCACTCCAGGGCCGTTCCCTCGGGGCTGATGGCGCTGGGCATCTTTTTCTAGAGTTTTAGTGCAGTTTCACCTTGGCACTCGACCAGCCAGAGACCACGGAGCATTCGCGATTGACCTTCGCACCGTGATAGTGCGTATGGCCAATGAGAGAGTTGACAGTGACTTGCCTAAGGTCCCGCAGGTGGACTAGGGAGGCGGCCGGATTCTAGGTCTTGGGGCTTTGAGGCGGGAAGCAACCCCAGCTGGAGGGGCAGTCTGGGTGATTTGTAGTTCATGTCAAATGCTTTCTGTTGACCCTCCTGAAGTACTGTTATCATAATGAAAGTGGTCTGATTCCAGGTGCTGACAACTTTGGTAGTATTTTACTTACACTAAGCCACGAAGCAGAGCATCTACCACGGTTCACATAAGTAACGAAACTCTTGCTATGTTTGAGGGGCAAGTCTGAGAAGAGGTTTAAAGAACAAATATTTAGAAAATTTATGTCATGTGCCTCTTTTGTTTACCTTCCAATCCTCTCTAATACTTGTTTTCTTACTTACAGTTGATTTTCTATTTTAATGATTTTCTTTGCTTTAATGAAGTCGTTGCTGCTTGTGAATTACTTTTCTAAGTAGAAAATCTTATTTCCTGTGTGTTCAATCATTGGAACAAATAGCAAGCGCTGAGATTTGTATCATTGTCTATTATCTTAGAACTACTGAGCTGTCTGCTTTTATTTTCCTCCAAATATCGACTTGCATGCTTTTTTCTATGTTTAATGCTGTTGAAAGAATTTACAGCAAAATTTGAGTGATTCAAGAGAAACTTTGCCAAATTTTTTTTTTGAAAGCTTTTGTAACAATCTGAAGAACTTTGTTTCAAAAAATAAGATTTATTCTGACTTAAGTGCCTATTTTCATTCTACTGTTTATTCATATTGACATACTTGTGGTGCAGAATATTTCCCCAAATAAGTTTGCTTATTGCAAAATATTTCCCCAAATAAATAATCATTACCTTAACCAGATCTTCTCAAGGGAAATCACATTTTAGAATACTGACACATTTAAGGAAGAACATTTAGTTTGCCAAAATTTAATAGTTTATTTTATAGTGCTATAAATGGTACAGTGTTTCCATTAACAGATTCTCTTGAAAAATGTATTAAGGTACTGTGTGTTGTAGATGGCTGTGAATTTATCCTTTGCAGTAAGCAGTGGATAATTTTTGCCACATTAATATGTGTGGCATAAGTTGCTTTCTATCTCATTTTATCTTGCTAATAGTTTTATTGTTGCTTTCAGTAGCAGGTTTGTATCCCTTTTCTTTCTAGTTTTAGCAGTGTAGCAAAATAGGAAATAGAAGTGGTGTGTAAGTTTGAGTATGTCATAGGAGAGACAGTGGAACAGGATAAGTATACAATTGTGAGGAAACTGCTGTGAATTCATAAGCCGGAAGGACCTTTTTAGAAGTATTTAAGGATGTTAAGAATAGCATTGGGATCTTTTCTTTTAAAAAAATTATTGTGAGGGTTATTCAGATGTTCTTTGATAACTTAGGAGGTATATTATTAAAGAACTGATAGGAAGGTACTTGGGAAAAGTGGACACATTTTAATAAGGATTTTCCCTAAAAATCATTTAATAGAGTTTTTGGAAAGTGACTTTCTGATCTAAACTTGAAAGTTTCTTACTGTTATTCTTACAGTTACACTGCACATTCCAGTTATTTTCATTGTATAATTTGTAACTCAGAATGAAATCTTGAGAGTATTTGTTAGCATAATTTAAGGCAGACTTTGACATTGACGTATTGCTTGATATGCTTGATGTTATTCTTACTCTTGTTTAAGTAACTCTACCATGTCAGAATGAGGAAGGTAAGTTTTCTTAATAGAATTAATAATTATTCAGATATGACAATTTCAAGTATTATGCAGTGGTAACTCCCATTCCCCATTTGATTCCAGTGCCCTATTACCTTTTTATGTGCTTGAATAGTTCACTTTGGGTAATATTTAAACTTAGTTTTAAATGAGAGGGGTTTTTTTGATATCGAGGATTGAACTCATGACCTAGTGCTTGGCAGGAAAGCACTTATGCTCCTGAGCTAAATCCCTGCCCCTTAAACCTAATTTTAAATTTAAAGATTTATTGCATTTCACATCCTCCAAGATACTGTAAAACAGATTTTGTAAGAGACAAATATTAAAATATAGTTTTAGGTTTTTTAACCATTTGTGAACATGCAGCATTTGGAAATTTATTGATATGATACTTAAAAGAATTTCATGGGGCAGAAACTTTCGGTAGCTTTAAATACTTAACTATAATGCTTAAGTGCATATGTATATGATGTTTTCATGTAAAAATGAAACTCTTTGTTGGTATTTATGATAGCAGTAGGGCCCCGTTACATTTAAAAAGTAACTTTAAATCATTTAACCCTGGCTGCTTGTGGTGTCACATGCTTGTAATCTCAGCACTCTGGAGGCTGAGGCAGGAGGATTGCACAGGTTTGAGGCCAGCATGGGATACAGTGAGTTCAAGGCCTGCCTGAACTGCATACTGAAACCTGTCTAAAAAGACTTAAAGGAAAGAAAGAAAGAAAAGAAAAAAGAAATTTATTTAACCCTAAGTAATATTTTTTCCTTGTAGGTACTGTGCAATAAAGAATGTGTGAGTTTGTAATTCCTAGAAGATATGTAGCAAGCATTTGTTTGCTGTTTATTTTATTAACAGTTTGACTAGTTGCATAGCTGTAGTTCAGTAAGAGTGTTTTGGGGAGTTTATGGCAAGCTTTCTTTGAGCTGGAGGTTTTGTTGAATATAAAAAAATTAAGAATCATTTAAGATTTTTAAAAATTGAAACTGTTTTAAATTAAAATGTTATTTCCAAATGCAACTCCTATCACATTTGTAAGTCTGATAGTTTTATTCTTCAAAGAATTGTGGTTTTACCCTTGTAGATAGCCCAGCCTTTTAAGCATTTTGAGTTTTAGATTCTGGTTTCAATTTAACCTCTTCTTGAAGAAAAGCTAGTTACAGGTATTTGAATTGGAAGTCATCTCAGAGGGCTTTTCAAGTAGCTTCTAACCCAGTACAATAAATCCTCCCTGGAAATTTCTGGTCTGGTGTTCCCTGTCATTTCTAAAGGTGCAGTTCCATAAGTCATTAGGTTGTTCATCAGTTAAAGCTTGGTAAGAACAAAACAGCTTTAATTTTCACTGTTCACTGCTTTTAGCTATGCTTTGTAGTATTTTCCTCTCCTTTCCTTCTCCTTGCCTCATGACATCATAGGTAAATAATAGCATTTCTGTCATTTACAGCTATTAAAATCTCCAGTCTAATCTATTTCAGTTTAAACTATCAATCGCATATTCAGTGTGGAACTCCTTTTTCCCCTTATCACAGGGTCTGGCTACTTACACCTAAAGCATTTAGGGTAAGAAGGGATTGTGGTATGATCTTAGAATACCTCTTTAATTTTCCTCGTGTGGAATCTACTTGGACCAGACTAGTCAGAAGAGAAATTTTAAAAAGGCAAGTATTTTGTATCTGGTTTTTTGAAGTCTTCTCTTTATAGTGGTAGACCATTGATGTCCACTGATAAACTACAAAATTGACAGTTTGGGTTCAATCTTTCAGAGAGTTGCCCTACTTTGTAGTTGCTGCATGCGAAATTTCTGTTGCTAAAGCAAACTAACCTATACCCTTGCCTATCTGCTCCTGCGAGTGGGCTTGAGTTGGGGTGAGGATCTTTTCTCTGTTAGCCAAGTGTCTTGATAACAAGACTACTTGAGTACTTCTGCAGTTTCCACTCAACCTACTTGAAAGTCACTTCCTTCTGATGTCAAATGTGGTATGCAGACTGTGTCTTGCTATTTCTCATAGTGCTATTTGTCCCCTTGCTCACATCGTTAATCTACTGACTTGGCAGACATTGGACGGGAAAGTGAGATGCCAGTCTTCTGTTTTCTAGGCACTTAAGATTTTGGTAAATAATTTCTCTTGGAGGTCTTGCTGCTGTTTTTTGTATGTCTTTTTCCTTTCCCCATGTTTTCCCTGAAAAATTGGAAGACTTCTAATTCTGTCCCTCTTCTGTCAGCTACTTTGGTAGAGGGCAGAGGTGATAAGGTGATGGTGAAGGTGACAGAGCATTGAGGTGTATGTGTGGCAGGGAGGTATGGAAGCCCTTAGGTTAATTTTTATACCATTTGCCATGTATCTTTACATTCAACCAACCACAGATGGAAAATATTTGAAAAGAAAATTCATCTGTGTTTAACATGTATAGGCCTCTTTCTTCTCATTGCAAAGTGAGCAACTAGTTACATAGCATTTGTGTTAAGTGTTATAAGTAATCCAAAGATACTTCACAGTATAGGGAGGATGTGTACAGGTTATGTGTAAATTATGCCATTTTATATAAGAGACTTGAGCATTAGTGCATTTGATATCTGGGAGTCTCAGAATCAGTCCCTGTGGATAAAAGGGATGACTGTATCTCCTTAGCATTGTTTTTGTCAAATTCTGGGGCAAGTGGATTAGGTCCATACATTGAT